AACCAAGGTCGAAAATCAGATCTCGAGATACAAAATTATGCACTTATGATGACTTCAAGGTTTTTTTTTGCAAAGTAGAGAGTACAATTTAAAAGAAGACTTCATAAAGTTTCTTTGAGTATGGATCTTGGACAATTTGAATTTGTAATAACTTTTTAAGAGCTTTGCAAAGTCAAGATTTTTTTTAGTAAATCTAGTTTTGTGAAATTAATAAAGAATTTATATTGAAAAGAATTTAATAAGTTTGATAGAAGATCTATTAGTAAAAAATTGTGGGTTTGTAATTATAGATGTTTTTATTGCATGGTATAAACTTGAGCATGATCAAAAAATTAGATTGAAGATTATTGAAGTTCAAGTGCATTGAAGTCTTAAAAATGGGGTTTTGAAGGTCAATGAAGATTTCTAAGATTTTTAATAATTTTTCAATTGGAATAAAATGAAATTTTTGTATATAAATAGTAGACTTAATTTTCAACATATATGTGAATTTTAAGAGATATTTAATGATGGAATTAAGAAACTTTGGCTCAAGTAGATCAATATCAAGATTGGAGAAGAAGGCCGGCCAATACCTAAGAAGTTTTTAGGATTTATCTTTTATACAATATGTACAATCTTCTTCAAAATTTAAATACTTCTTACTAATTTAGATGTCTAAAGGTATGCAAAGTTTGAGTCAAAATCAATAGTTTAATAATTAATTATTGAATTTTTAATTTGCTATAGGATTATTAAGAATTTTTTTTAAGATTTAGGATTTGATTAAAGATTGATTAGGATTGGTTCAAGATCTAGGATTTTATTGGAGTTTAGAATTTGACTAAGATTTGATTAAGATTCATTATGATTTGATTAAAATTTAGAATTTGATTAGGATTTAATTAAAATTGATTAAATTTGGTTAGGATTTAAAATTTAATTAAGGTTTGATTAGGATTGGTTAAGATTTAATTAATATTTAGGATTTAATTAAAATTTTATTAAGATTTTTCTAAAATTTTATTAGGATTTCTTTAGGATTTGATTAAAATTCAATTAGAATTTACTAAAGATTTCTTTGTATTTCTTTTATCATTTATTTGGAAATTTAATTGAATTTGATTAATTTTTTATTATATTTGTTAAGCTTTAATTATAATTTATATATGATTCTATTAAATTTGTTAGGTTTTGCTGTTTCAATTTTCTTTTACCTTCTACAGTTAGATGTCTAATGTATTTTCAAGCAAGACTGCACATAATATGATACTATTTTTATTTTCTTTTTCTTTCTTTCTCTCCTCTTCTTTTCTTCTTTTTATATCTTTTTTCTTTTCTTCTTCTTCTCTCTTCTTCTCTTCTATGTTTTTTTTTCCTATTCTTTTGATTTTTTTAATTTATTATTATTATTATTATTATCAAAATAAGTTTTTTTTATTTTATTTTTTCTTTTGAAAACAAGGGCTATTTCTATTCAGCCATTACCTAATGTTAATTAAAAAAACATATTTTTTCTAAGAAATTCTCTTAATAATTTATTTTTTAGATTACATCTCTACTATTAATATCTATTTTTTATTTTTTTTTAAAAAAAGCTACTTCTAATTCACAAAATCCGTGATTTCTAAGCACATTAATTATATTTTAATATACTAAATATATAAGAGAGTTGAATTGGTGACTCATATCAAGCATATCAATTCTTGTCTCTCTCATACTTGTAGAAGTATGGATTTAGTTGTGAGGTTGATTTACTTGCTTCCCTCAATTATACAACTTCTTGGAATAGACTTTGGACTTTTTCTATTGACGTAGGAATAGTGCGTCTATAGTTAGCATTAAAAATGCCTAAAATTTCTATCTTAAAAGTGATAATAAGCTTGTAAAGATCTATGATAGTTGCAAATCTATTCTTATTTTTGCCAAGTATAGCATCTATGATTTTTTATTCTATTTTAAATAACATAATAAATACATAAATCAAATTAGAGAAAGAAAATTTTCAACCTTTAATATCAAATGAGAATTTTCACAAAGAAGGATAATCCACTCTCTTTACAAAAAAAATTAGTATTAAAAAAGTAAATATCAATTCAAGGTAGGTAGTCTACAACCTTCAAAATACAACAATAGAAGTGGGATAATCCACTCACTTCTAAAAACAAGAGAAGAACAATGAGTTAGGACTCTTGTCAATCTGTCAAAGATAAGAACTTAAAAAAGATATAAAAACAAGTAAAAAATGAATCAAAGAGATATGAAAAACTAGAAATAAGAAAATAAATATAGTTAATAAGAAACTAAAATAGCTATTGCCAAAAGCTAGAAAACTAGAGATTCTTAAAATTAGGCTAAAAACAAGAAAAGAATTGATTAGAGTGAAGAACGCTTTATTCTTACCTTTATATATATTATCTATCTATGAGCTACATGAAAACCTTCTATAAGACCTTCAACACATGTCCAATTTGCAAGACATATGTCTTAACTTGCAAGACAAGTTTTGTATATGTGTGCCACATTGTAAGCTTATACTACAAGCTATCAATATATTAAACATGTGGCTAATTTCTTAGCTAAGTTTCTAACCTATTAATCACTTATAGACATATATAAAGATAAAATTGAGTCTATAAAGCTTTTATAAAGCTTCTCCATAAGATATTATCAAATCAACTTATTTTCATATACTTCTACCTATTCTTATTATTTGGATAACTATACACATGTCCGTAGCAACATATCAATAGATCCTGCTCTTCATAGACAATGGACTATTATATATTAAAAACTATTTAATTTCTTCTAATATAGATATATGTATGCTTATTCTGAATGCAACTTCAAAGATCTAGCCAATGAATGTTGGAATCATTATGGCATTCTAACAATACTACTAGCACTTCTATTTGCAAAATGTATTTGACTAAAATGAGCAAAATGAGATCAATTTGTACAAGGTAGACCAATTAATGATAATGTGGTGGCTACTTGTTGATTAGGCAGAAATATCTCTAACAATAATACAAAATTATTTCCGGCATATTGGATTATTTGAGCATACAATTAAAATCACAAAAATTGATAGTCAAGAAACAATCAAAAAAGAGCTAGTGGACATAATTTGAGGTCTTCTATTGTGGAAACCAATATCAATTAAAAATTTGTTCAATTCAATTGAAGAAAAAAGTATGTTTATTGAGCTAGATGATTACAAAATTATTGAGCTTATTTGTCATCAATAAGCAAAGGAAGGTGAAGGTGTTGACAACACCTTCTAAAAGAATTATGCGCTAGCATCATTCACATAGATAGAGAAGTTGCAGAGCCTTTTTGTGGTTATTTTCATATTGAACATTGGAAATATGGATGAATATCAACAAGATCCTTTGCAATATTCAGTAGAAGCTACATACAAAATACTTCTAGTAAATCATGCTAGATTCCTAGTTAAGCTAGATTCTCTATTATTTACACCCTCTACAAAGTTATAGTCTTTTGTTTTTTCCTTCTTTGGCCATAACTGATAATTTACAAGAATTATAACTTAACCGTAGTATAACTAGGTAAATTATTCAATTTTTGAAAACTTAATGAGGATTATAATATACTTGGAGATAACTTATGAGAGGATAATATTGTATATGATTTCTTAAAAAAATATATGTTTTATAAAAATAATAATAAAAAAAATCTACAAAAAAAATCATAAATTTTTTTATAAATTTTTTAAAATATCTATTATAATTTTAATCTATATATACTTTTAAAATAATTATAACTACTAATTGAACATATTTGTAGCGTAACTTCTTATACCTTTAAATACTTAATTGAATTTTTAACCAAAAGGTTAGATTTTATATAGTTGATATAATATTTTTAAGAAATTCAAAATGCATCTCAATTAATTTAATATACTACTAAAGCTTCCTATAAGAATTGTTGGTAATTTATTTTCAAGTATATTACAAGTATTGTACAAAACTACAAAAAAATTTATCCTAAAAAAATTCAATATATGATTATTTATTCTACTTTAATCATTTATAAATAATTTATGTTATTTTAAAATTTTCAGTTTTAAGGTCCTTATTGCGTTTTATCTATTAATTTTTTTGACTTATAATATTCTTTTTTTACTACTGAATAATTCATGCTTTACAATTTTATAGTTAAAAGAATATAAGCTCTTTGATCTTGCATCTTTAATCAATAAGGCTCTACATACTTATTGCATCATTAGTTTTGATCTATTAATGTTATGATAATTCCAAAAAAGAAAGGAATACACCAATTTGTTGTAGATTAAAGAAGAAACATGATCAAAATGTGTTTTAATGCTGATTTTATATATATATATATATAAAAACAAAATTACTGATATACTTAAACATACATACATATACATAGATTTAATATATATATATATATATATATATATTAAAAAATTCAAGTATTTTATTTAGCTGTAAATTGAAAAAAATATACACATACACAACCAACACGTATCCACAGGATTAAAAAACTGGAAAAAGTCAAATCAAAACCCTCTCTCAGTATCACGATCAGTTGAACGGAACAGAAGAAAAAACAATTTCAATTCAACAGCAACAGACTCAAACGAAGGATACATTCATCTACCCTATTTAATTCCCCCACTTAAAAAAAATGTCTAATTCCCACCCAAACCTAGACAGAAACCCAGACCCATTGCAGCCCGGCAGCTTCACATATGGCTATTCGTGCAGAACCCATTATTTTTGCATGTTCACACACATATGTATATATATATATATATATATAGACATATTTTTTCATGATTGTGGTGGCGTCAGAACCCGCCAATTAATTGGCCACGCAATACGCTGAGTTGGCAAACTTTTTTCACGCGAGTGGATAGCTGGGGAGGAGTCGGGGACGACGACGACGACGAGCACACAAATTGATCCAGTCCTCTCCTCTCTGCTCCTGCTTGCGGCAGTGGCGATGGAGGGCGGGACCCACACGGGGAGGTGGTAAGTAAGAATGAGAGAGGGAGATGCGCATAAAGAACAGAAGAAGAATCCTTGCAAGCGAGATGGTTGGTAGCTCTCCTGCGCCATCACCACTCCTCTCGCGTCATCACCCATCCTCCTCCCATCAGCAGTCGCTTGCTAAGGTAGGTAGCAGTCCATACCCACGCTGCCTCTCACCATTAGGTTTCTGGCTACGGTTTGCTTTTCTCTGAGGAGGTTGAAGTGCGTTCACGGCCCCGGACCTGGTGCATCCAGCTCTTGGCATCGCCGTCACTCCTGTTCTCGGGCCTCGATCTGAACTGCCAAAAGTTGAAGTTTCATTACCGCTTTCTGCCCCGCGCATTTGCTAGGTGTGGGTATCTGGGTTTTCGGTGCGTTTTCCTAGCTCTGGTGTGTTGGGTTTGCTCTTTGTATGTTTCTAGAGTTTTCTAAAGTTCTGAGTGGGTTTGTTTTGTTTGTTTTGTTTTTTGATTTTTTGGGTTTTTTGCTTGCAATGCTTTTTTTTTGTTTTTTTTTTATTGGTTGTTTTTTCGGGGGTGGTGTCGTGATTTTTGAAGGCCAATCTCTCGATGGCGTGTATAGTTTTCTTGTAGTTATAACGAACATTGTAGCGCTTAGGGTTTATTAGGGGCCCTGAAATCGGGGTTAATCGCCGTATTTGGGGATTCGGGTTGTAGGTTTGGTGAGCGACATGCTTCACTGGTAATCTTCACGCTTCGCATTGTTAAAGCGATTCATTTAGCGAAAAATTGCACAACTAGTTTCATTGTCTAGTCTTTTGTTGCGTATGACTGTTCTACATTGATATCTATGATGATTCAAGCTGGTTGTACATTTCATAGTGAGAGATGCGTATTAAGTATTGTAAATCAATCTCCGAGTTGTTCAATCTGGTCGAGGTTTATCTATTTGGTGAATCAAGCTCAAGGGTTACTCTCTGTTCTGTGGAGGCAGATCGCTCTAGCAGGGAGGAATTAATTTTCAACTTGGAGTGTCAATCTTTGAAAGCGATGTATGGGGATGGCGAACCATCCGAAACCCCCGTGGAACCAGGTTTACTTCGTTTCCCTTTTTCTGCTTTGTGCAGTACGCAATGATAATGTCTTCGATATTAGCGCCAGCAAGGCTGCACACGAAATTACCACCTATTCTGAATTTCTTGCCTTGATCAGGAGCAAATCAAGCATCCACATCTCGGTCAAGTGGTGAAGCACTTTCAAAGCAAGCTCACGACAATCCAGCCTTTGTTGGAAACGCCACAGGAAACACCACCTCTAGTACTTCCGGAGACCAACCACAGTCATCAAATGTAAGGGATGGAGAAGCAAGGGGAAACGTAATTCCTGAAGGTTCCCTCCAGGTAAATTATCACAAGTCCTACATATTGAAAATTATGTGTTAGCATACCATATGTCAAATCTAATTCCTGCATTGTCATATTATCAACTTACTGCACGAGTCTCAAACCGTCCAACTCTTTCCAATGCTTGAAAAAAAGTGTATGATTTGGTCTACAACTGCATAAGTACTTGTTCAGTTCTCGCATATTGTGCCTTATTAGATAATGTGTGTGGGCTTCTTGATTTCCAGTTAACCTAGCATCTCTCAGTCATCTGTTCTTCTGTTAGTATGTTTCTGTGTGCAAATTGAGCTGATTAAGCTGAATTCAACCGGTTCTCTTTTAACTCGAGTAAAATTTATCTTTAGAGTGTAATTCATTTGCCTCTATGAAACTTTAATTTACCTTTGACATCGTCCTAGAATGGAGAGTATTACCAGGAAGATTTTAGTGGGAGATTTGGAGTATGATATCTTATTACAATCGATGGGTCGAGGTTTATGGAACAGGCTGTTATATAGACATATCTGGTGTGCTCTCCAAACTAGGATGTTGCAGAACTTGGATAATAAGTAAACGTAATTGATGAGAAATGCATACTAGCTTCACTCTAATATTTTCGTACATGGCCTTGTAAATATGACCCAGAACGTCACGTGGTTTATATATTTTTATTTTTTATTTATCAGTGTTATCTGATTTTAATGCTGCAGCGTAGACAATTTCTTCCGTCGAAGTGATCCTCTTATTGCAGCTAACTGAGTAGATGTTGCAGAACGATGGCGCATGGGTTCCGTTGGTGTTCAGTCCTGTTATGTTGCCCGGGAATCCTGAGTCATGGAACGGAACACCTGGGGCAATTCCACCTGGGGCATTCACACCTCCACATGGGACAACTCCGTCTGGAACAGCCGATGGTTCAGTGCTTTCACAGTGGATGCCAGTGTTAATTCCATTTCAAATCCCCTTCTTTCTCTCTTCTCCTCCATCGGATCAAGCAGGACAGAATGCGGGCTTTTATCCTGTTCCTTCTATGGTTCCTTTCTTTGGGCCTTTTGGAATGGCACCAGGGGCGCCGAACGAGTTCAAGTTTCCAGTTCCTACGTAGGTTCTCAATGATTTTTAACTTCCGACTTCGTAGTTTTGTAATTTTGCTTTAGTACGTTTTTGTATAATTCGACTTAGACGATGCTCGCTTCATGCCGTGTTATTATATGCATGAATGTTGCTGTCTAGTTGTACTTGTGGATTGTGATCAGTTATCGCGCACAGTTTCTATGCTTTTCATTAGGTTTAACGGATCATGACATCATGAAGGCGTTTTTATATATAGGAATGTACCCATTCCCACGGAAGGAAACCCGGCGGATGCTACCGCTGGACAGCAGGCGGCCAATGCAGGAAGAGCACCACCGGTTATTGAGAGGGAGGGTATTCGTCTTGGCCAAGTTGAGCAGATGCAACCAAATGGACTGCCACCCGTTGCCCAGGCTGGAGCGGGACAATTACCAATTCAAGGGCCGGTCATTCGCAGGTTAGCTCCTAATCCTGTGTGGGAAGGTGTTTTTCGCCTTGTAAAGATTGTCGAGGTGTACAAGATTGAAACCGTCAGAGTCCATGCTAAACCCTTCCACTAATACCACTTGGTTGGGGTGACTGTCGATTTCGGTCTTTACACCTCTACAACCAACACAGTGGTGGTTGGAGTCTTTCTAAGCACAGCACTGATGGCTCTCTGATATTTCGTTAATCTAATTCGTAGGGTGTGCCTTGCGTGGATATAGCCTGTATACCTGTAAGAATAGTATTTTTAAGCCTGTAGGAGCCATTTTTATGGGAATTCAAACTCTGGGAATTGGCGATTGTGCAGGTTTCAGGTTGGCATTCAGTTGGATCTGCTGCTTTTGTTGAAGCTAGCAGTTGTTGTCTTCGTATTTAATCAAGATGGATCAAAAGACCGTTTGCTTCTTCTTTTGGGACTGGCAGGCGTTATCTACTTGTAAGTTTCAATATTGCGCATGTTATCTATTTCTTTCTTGGTGTTGGTGGGCAAGATGCATAGGTAAGAGTTCTAGAACTGGTTCAGTTATGTTCTACTTGGTCGAAAGAATTGGAAGTAAGTCTTTCACACTAACTTTGGTACATGCGAAACTGTTAAGGTATCAAACGGGCTTACTAGCCCCCTTACTCAGATGGCTTGCTGTAAAAGCACAACAATTCATGACACCACCACAGCAGCTTGCTCAAGGCCAGCCCGATCAACAGCCTGCTCCAGGTAGAGCAGAGCTATTTTTTCCTTGTTATCACCCTATAAGTGGAATGACGAACTGGTCATTAGTTTAGCTTGCTGGAAACCCTAGTAGACAAGTTTTCTTCATCACAGTTTTTAGTGTATAATGATCGTATTTGATTATGTTATTGACGTTCTCCTGGAGCATATTTTGTTTGATTTTCTACAGGTGTGCAAGCAATGGATGCTCCAGCCGCAGATGCTGCTGTTCCAGGAGCAGAGGAGCCAGCAGGTATATCTGGCCTTTCTAAATTGGCAATGTCCGGTTATCTACGTTATGGACGACAATGGACTTGCAATTACCTTTGGAAGTAGATTTATTCTTTGTTTTACTCGATTTAACCTAGGGTTAAAACCTATGCTTCGCTTGGATTGGTGCAGGTGAAGCTGGCGCAGCACCTGGCGGAGTAAATGCGCAGGCTCCTGGAGGAAATGCTCAAAATCCACAAGATCCATTCTGGGCCTTTGTAAAAGAGCTACAAATGCTTGTGGTTGGGTTTGTTACATCTTTGCTTCCAGGTTTCCATCCCCATGCTGACTAGGTGTTAATACCCTTCAAGCCGAATGTCCGTTGCAACATCTATATGCCTGCAAGATGAATCATGAAAATCAAAAATCACCCAAGTGAACATGGGCCGTTGTAAATAGTTGCGTCAGCCTCGATGTGACTGTCCTACTTCAGTAAGACCTACTGCAAGAAGAAACTATGGATCTGATTAACACGATCTGAGGCAGATGTGTAAAGAACAAACAGATCAGCCAATATGTGGTGGTAACACCTGTACCACTGGGATATGCTGGGGTCTTCAGCGCATGAAGGCTCAGTGATGATGCTTCCCAGTATCCCAGTATCCATTTTTTTGAAGCAACTTGCTTAATGGAGTACAGAACCTGATGAGTATGTTGTGTACCAGGTCTCCACAGAAAAGTACTTCTGCATTTTGTCCTTATTTTACGTGGATGAACTGTTCCCATCTGCTGCATCATTGCGTACATTCGATAGAAATACTATAACATGCTGCATGTTATCAAGTAAGCGACTTTTCAATGAATTTGAGTAAAGAAAGAGAAAATATATTGTGCAGCAATAGATGTACACTTATGGGTCTTTGTGCAGTAAACTATTGATGTGATGAGTAACGTGCGATATTCACATCATTCTTAATTTTGTGTAAATTAAGAACACATTATGTGGCTGTTTACATCAACTGGTTCTGATCAACTTGACCGCAGCTGAACCTAGTATTCTTTTGCTGCTTCATGATACAGAGAAAATCTTCCGAATCTACATGGAACTTGTTCGACTCTACAGTACAATTTGGAACAATGCGGAACGAAGCTACTTTATCCCCACTAGGTGATGTCGTACGGCTCTCACTCCCTTCGCTCTCCGCTGACATCCACAATCATACCTCCAGCGCACGCAAAAAATTACAATATGGTACATCTTTGCATACTTTTTACATTGTCTGATACCTGGAGGCCTTCAGCTAGTTCTATTCCTCACCTTCTAATTACAATAAGCACTAACTACGCACACAACGTGATGAGCTATCAGGAATCTAGCTTGTGAAGGTTCATATGCAATTAGTTGGTGCTAATTCCCCAAACCCTTACTCAAGTCCAGCTGTTCTTGATTCGGAAGAAACTCAAAGAAAACACGTATTAATCACGATAAGGATGTGGCAGCACCTCTGTGATCACGAAGTGCAGTTACCTGAGCACGGTGATCACTCGGTTGCCGCCACAGGCTTGAGAACCCACCGCCTTCCATCTGCAACACCACCTGATCGCTTTGCTGATCTCCAGACGCTACCTGCGCACCTGTTTCAGGCAGAGACAGAACCCACCCCCTCTCTCACCTCCCTCCCCCTTCGCGCTCGCTGTGCTGTTCGCTGCTTGAAGTTGTGGATCTCAATGATCAAGGTACTCGTTAACATGGCGATTCCAAACCCCACAAACGCTGAAAGCAGTATCGACAGGACGGACTCCACACCCACCACGTCGTAGAAAATGTGCGCGAAGCAGACGACCAGCGCAAGTTGGCATATCGCGTACAACCACACGTAGCGCTTCTCCACTGTTGCACACAACAAGACCCAAATATTCCACGTCACATAGCTGTTTCAAAATATGGAGAGATTCATTGAAATGAGGTGCACAAATTATAACCTACCAAGGTTTGAGGCCGTGATTGCAGCAAGCAGACCCAACACACAGGAGAACGGAAGAGAGATCGCCAGTGCTCCAGATCCCATTCGGCCCACCAGGAGCTGCTCGAGGAAGCAGAAGTACACCAGCATACTCAACATCACCAACACGGGCACATCCTGCCACACCCTACTATCCAGAGAATTCAACTCATCAGCGCCAAATGACTCCAGGAGCTAAATGTTAGAGAAAGATTAATAGGCCATGGCGAAGGGATTGCAGAGGCGTGAGAAGCACACCGTGGATTTGCGGCATCGAGGAGCTGGACTGAAGGTTGAGAAGAAGAAGGCTGTTGACTCTGGCGAACGACCGTAACTGGCAGATTGCAAACCTCGAGACCGCAGACATCGCATGTGCGGTTCCCTTTGATGCTGAACCATTTGAGAGCGCAATCTTTGTGTGCTAGCGCCATCTCTCCCCGGCAGCTGCACTCCATCTTGAAAGTCTCGCCGTGTTTCTCAGAGAGCTCTTCGAAGCATATCCTGCACACAGCCTCCTCTTCGGGAATCTCTTCATCTCCACATTTTGGGCTTTTCTCACCCTTCTCTGTGTCGCTTTGTGTTGCGGTGGAATCGACGTCTTTCGTGGCAGAAATCTCGTCACCTGGGGTTGTGCCAATGGTGCGTGGAGTGATAGACTTGAGCAGCACGGTTGCCCCGGTACTTGGACCCGCGGGCTTCCTAGGTGGAGGAAGGGATAGCTTGTTGAGCGGCATTGATACTGAACGGGCGATACTCTTCATTTCTACTTCACCCTGCCATAGCCATCTTTCATTGTCAATACACAGCAACCTAGAATATAAATCGAATACTGGACAACCTACTTGCACCCTCTTCACTCCAATTACCTCTGTTGGGTTATTACTGGTGAGTTCATGTGCCGCACTTGGCCCAGGGCTTCCCAGTACCGAATCGAGAAATGCACCCACTGGCTCTGAAGCAGTTCGTTTCTCAGATAGCTGAATGACATGTTTCCCGTCTGACGGAGGCTGGCCTTCGTTGTCGGGTATTCTCTTTACCTGCGAGCTTCGCCTGGGCACATTTCCTCGCGTGGAGACCTTTCCAGGTTGTGACGTCTTGGCCATCAGACGCGGCGCGTCTGTGTAAACTGAGTCGCTAATTACCTCAATATGATTGGGTAGAGTGGGCTGGAAGGGAGGTTGGCTCTCTTTAGTCGCCATCACCGCTTTGGTTCTAGTGATGCCCTCCTGCATACGTGAGCAGCCACATGTTCTCTCAGAAGATCGTCCTTGAACAAATCTTCAATCCAGTAAATTTGAGCGACTTTCGAACAGAAACTCTGCCGGCGACAACTACTTCAGGAGATTAGAGCTAGAATATGTATCCCAAATGTTATGGCAAGAAATTTAAGAGTAACTGATTCTGACACAGACAGACAGCACCGACAAACAAGACGTCAACAATTCCACCCAACTGCGTGTTGTATGCTTCATGTTACGTTTGTGTCTTGCTTTTGTTCAAAATGTCTCATGGTAATGGCGACGACAAGCGTTACTGTGTTTGAGGGGGACAAGTCAAAAGGTACACAAAGCTTCATCTAAGGAAAAGAAAGGGAGGGAGCTTGTTATCACTTGCGGAAGAGTTGTAGAAGTGGAAGGGCCACCGTCGTCAACCCAGGCTCTATCAAGCTTTTCACCATCGCTGACGTCCATCTCCGATCACCGGAGGTCAACCATACACGAACACCACGCAAACTCTCCACCTTTCTTATGCACTCACCGACAACTCCTCACGCCTGTCGTATCCTTCGCCATACCCCCTCGTCTCTCCAAACCCTTTTAAAACCTATCGTGTAACTGTCCAGCAACGCAGTGTACTGAATTCGCGAGGTCTGAGACCGGATTATGCGTTTGAACACTCCGCTTCTACCTCCGACTCAAGGCAAAATTCTCCAAACCACAATTTCAGGCTTCAACCGCGCTCTTGCGGGCGTACAAGTAGAAGAGAAAAACAAACTAAAAAATAATAATATGAAAGAAAAAAGAAAAAAGAGAGATAATCCAGAACAATTTTTTTAAAAAAATACAGATTTCGCTCAATGTAACATCGATTCGACACCACGTTCTAGGATCGATCAACAGTGAGAAGACCTACGCGTCACTCACGAATAGCCGTTGACTCACCCAAATCCAAAGGGAAACTAAACAGTACGTCCGATGATCAAAGAAAGACCTCACAGCACAAGCCGGCAAATGATTGCGCAGTCGCGTTCGCTAGATCACCAAACCTTCATACCTGGTACGCAATTCTCGGTACCACACCTGAAGCACTCACATTCTGCAATCACGAAACCAGCTTCCGACCCCAAGCAAGACTCATAAGAACGCTAGAACAACGCAAGATAGGAACAAAGGACAAAATGATAAGAAGAAGCTATGGCATTCTCCAGAATACGAATAGCTAGGCTGGACGAGTCCAGCCATCGCAAAGAAAAGGACACAAAGAGTGGCTTCGATAGCAGCATTAGGAGCAACTTGCCAGGTAAGATAAACCTAGAACTGTTGCCCAGGGATCCCGATCACGAGTGGCATCTTGTTCTACGTTTTTTAAGGCCGCCGCGTGCACAAACTCAAAGAATCAGAAATCGCATCACTGACTCATTCTCTGCAGGTGGCGAAGTCCGACTTTGCTCCACCTAGTCCGAGTTCACATCACCATCTCTGCCTGTCGGCGTTCCCACCGATGTCGGCGCTGTCGTTGTCGCATGCAAATCATGGAATGGAAGGGCTTGACGCTAATTAGGCGCTGCGAGGTGGCAAGTATTAAAATTCCCGGCACACAATGTGGGAGAGTGTGTGCAGGAGCTGCCGGCCTTTGTCCAGAATCGAGGGGAGTGGTATTGCCGCGGTTGCGGAGATGATGTGGCATCGTGTCACAGCGCAATTTGACTTCGGAACTGGGATAGGGATGGATCCATGTGTGGCGCCGGAAGAATGATGTCAACTAAAGAGACAGATTCCTCGATCTTGTAGCGAAGTGAGTGTGAGAGAGAGGAAGAGACAAAGAGAGAGCAGCTGGGCTGGGCCTAGAATATGCTAAACATGGCCAGCTGTTGCAGATGACAGCAATATCACTCGCTCTCTCGCTGTCACTCTCTCCACACCTTCTCGTGCGCCCCCGGTGCTCTCGGATACGCGACTGCTCTTGGACTGCACTCTCTTGCTCTCTCTCCATCTCACACACAGACTAATCGCGTCACTGCCTCCTCGTTGCAACTAGACATGCGCGTCGTAAACATACACTTTGACCACCACTGTCGCAATCTTAGTAAACAAACCCACCCAACTTGATTCAGAATTCGGACCACTTCTGTGAAGATTGTGTTGATCGTAACAGCGACGTAGACTCCCAGGTGGTTTTCAAAATTGCGGTCGTATTCAACGATAAAAGGCCTTGGAAATGGAGTTTCAGTTTTTCGTGTAGTGAATCTTAATCCAAATAGCTATTAATTTGCGCCAAGGTGAGTCGTTTAACTAAAGGTTTCACGCGTCATATGTACTTCATAGAGCGAAAGCTGATCACTTATTCTGTTCTCTGCAATTTTTATGTCAGTGTTCAATATATATTTATCAAAGTTAAAGTTTTTTGAAAAATGTATCATGTTTGGCATATGCAAAGGTGGGATAAAAGAGAGGGAAAACACTTATTTTTCTACTCGTCCTCATTATTGTTCATTGTAGCGTATGCAGGAGCTGCAAGAAAGCATATGTATTTTTTACATCCATTATAATTGTCCTTATTCTCTTACATGAAATATCCCAAGAAACTCCGCTTTTTCTAATTTGTAATCGAATCATATGAGTGCCCTTTCTCTTGGTGCTTGTGTCGACCACGTTTGAGGATATTATAGATAAAATTGCTATGTATTGAGCTCAAAGCACACAGACATGCAAAACTTTTTCACCTGCAACATTTGTCTCACAAGCAACCCGCTGTAAGAAATTTGAAAGTGGCAATAGTGAGTGATGATTTTTTGAGATTTTGTGTTTTGTTTTTTGTTTTGTTTTGTTTTGTTTTTTCTTTTTTCCAGTGAAAGTCTAAAGGAGGCCTTCCATCAAGCACCTTGTCCCATGCCAACTTATGCAGCCGACCCCACCTGACGGCTCACTTCCTTATCATTGGACCCCATATCCGCCACCCCCCTCACCCACTTATAATTGTTACCATTCTGGACCCTATTGCCTATTGTGGAGCCTCAGAAACTGGGTTGAACCCATGACCACGCCCGGTGACCGGCAATACCTGCGGTTATGGGATCCTGTTGACTTGGCGGCTGCGTGGTGGGAAAAAGTAAAAGACCAGGACACTGCAGCCATAAAAGCTTTTTCTAGTTACGATGAGAATAATCGCACTAAGGTGTGGATGGAACCATCAGCGCGGACTGGAATTGTCCCATGAATCTGACCCCCCCCCCCACCCCATTTATTCCATTGCTAGCGGTGTGAAGTGGGATGTCATTGGGCCGCCATTTTTAACTCTGAATTTTGTAAAAGTCTTTTTGATACACAAAACTTGCAATTTTAGGGTTTCGTACCGAATTATGTAGATTCTAGTTCAACGATTTCTGGGTGCATGTGATTGTAACAAAGCAACCCTTGCTCTCTCCCTCTCGTATAGATTCATGCATAATGGCAGTGTCAACCAGACAGGATGTGGGGGGAAGTCTTTGAATGGCTTACAACAGCATTGCTTGCATAGGTTTCGCTGACTTCAACAGGTTCTGCAGGCCAATCTCGGGGCTCGTGTAAAAGGGGCCTGACGCATTGGGCCTGTAGCGATCTACCTCCCCGTGGAAAGGAAGGAAAGTGGGGGTGTGTGTGTGTCTCTCTCTTTCTCCACCCGCGCCCGCTACAATTGCTGTTGCAATTTGGTGGCCTCCACGAATCGTTCTTACTTGTGCACCGTGTTTCCAATCCGCACCAAATAAGCTTCAAGCTCCTTGCGTCGTGCCGCATGCTCGTAAGTGCACTTTTTTGGATCATTGCTACAGCTTCTGAAGAAATCCACACATGGGTCTCTAACAAGTCACTATGTATGTATGTATGTATGTATGTAAATTTAAGTATATATGTATATGTATTTAGTAAAAGATCTTGAAAGAGATACGAAAATAGCATAGAATAAAATATTGTTGTGATGTTTTCAAATTGTGAGTTTTTTTTTTTTTTTTTTTTTTTTTTTTGATATAGTGTTGGTATGTATTTTTGTGTACATATATTCTCATCTTAAATTGCATAGGTAGCAAGAAGTTGACTATGTCAAATGTTTGTATAGTAGAGTTCTTTTGTATTTTTGTGTTTTTCAAATTTTATCAACCTATTTACCATGTTTAATTTTCAAACACTCACATACACACACATATATATATATATATATATATACACACACAATGTTATGTTACATGGGATGTTCTGTATAGAAAAATGTTTGTGATACACAAGACATGCGGATATAATTTAAAATATTCAATGCCTTTTTTATTACGAATATTAGAAAATTGAGAGACATTTTGAAAAAAGCGTTTTAATAATACATTATTGTAACTTTTTTATTTTTATTTTTATACCTTCAATATATATTATTATAAAATTTGATTAAATTATTTACAAATATATATATATATATATATATATATATATATATGATAGAGTTTCTATTCTCCTTAATAACTATTTCAAGTATTAAATAAGAATTCATGAATTTATCAAAAATAATAATTATTATTATTATTATTATTGTAACAAATTTGATTGAATGATTGATTTATTATTATAAACTCTTTCAATGTCATGTTATAATACATGTATTAGATGAGAGAGAAATATATATATATATATATATATATATATATATATATATATTATAGAAGTCTTAATTAAAAATATTGTAGCAAATCATCTTAAAAGTCTATAATAGTCAAGGACATAGTATAACTAATAAGTTCTAATGTTATTTCTTTGCAAATAAGCTTCTATTTACTTGCACAAATATAATTGAGACAAATCAAAGTAGATAAGAAAAATATTTGATATTAACATTGTTAAGAAGGATTTAAGAACAATCTATAGCAAAAAATACTTCAAGAAACCAAGAATTGATATTGAAGAGGATTAATTGTGAATTAGGATTGAAATCAAACTCTAAGATAGAAAACTATGTATCTACGGCAATTCTTGGATTCTTTTGTTGATTGGAGAGTAAGATTTGAAAGCAAACTAGAATGTAATAGACATATATATTTATTCCAATAATTACCTATATGATTAGATAAAATTTGATAAATATAGATTAATTCATAATATCTTTTAGAAAAACTTCTTAAAAACTTCACAGATGTAATTTTGATTTTATGTGTATTTGTACTTGATTAATAGGTTAAAAACTTAGTCAAGAAGTTAACCATATGTCACATATATTGATAGCTTATGGAACAAGCTAACTATGTAGTGCACATATAAAACACTTGCATTGCAAGTTAAGATATGTCTTGCAAAGTCAACATATATTGGATGTCCTATAGAACATCACCATATACCTCTTAATTAAATAGTATATGGGGAGACAAGAGCAAAGCCTTCTTCATTCTTATCAATACCTTTCTAGTCTTTAGTCTTGTTTTAAGACTTTCTAACCTTCTTGTCTTTGGCAATAGTCATTCTAGATTAATATTATATCATCTTTTACTGATTATCTAGACTTTTTGAGTGATACAAGAGTGTCTTAATCTTTCAATTCTCTAAGATTCATGTCCTTGAAAATTTGAGAAGAGTGCTAACTTATTATTTTTATCTTATTTTAGAAATGAGTGAATTACTCCACTTCTATTATTATATTTTGAAGGTTCTCAACTATCTATCTTTAAATAAATAGTTTAATTTTTTAATACTAATTTTTTTCTTAAAGAAAGTAGATTATTTTTCTTTGTGGAAATTTTTATTTAATATTAGAAATTATGAATTATTCTCTTCTAATTAATTTTTTGAATTTGTTTAAATTATCTATAGAAAGAAAAATTATAGATGCTATTCATGGAAAAAGTGAGAATAGATTTACAACTATTGCAAATCTTCACAAGCTTATCAACAGTCTTATCCAAATTCATATAGTATATTTTAAATCTCTTAATAATCAAAAAAAATTTGACATTATCAAAAAAAGATTCATCATTGTTAAGAAGGTTTGTACATATATTATGAAGAATCCAAGCACATTATTCAATATTCTCCAAAGAAACAACACAATCACAAAATGACGAGCATGGTTGCTAAAGAGGACAATGTGTTATGAAACAGGTTTTTCTAGCTACTATAGGCACTATGCGGTTGGAATCTTATGCAACACATAGTAAAGGTCTTATTTTCTCCTTAATTTCTTTACCTTTTTTTTATAATAGAAGTTTGTTTAGAATAAAAAAATCACAAAGACTTAGCCTTGTTAGATTCAAGAGCTTTAGCTTATTTTATAGACAAAAA